GCGAAAGCACAATGGTATAATGTTATTATTTCAAAGCTCCCCAAAAATTAAATTTTGGCATTAAATGACCCACAGAGTGTTGATGTGCCGTCAACCAAATCAACAAATAAAACAACTTCGGATTTCGGAAACCATCGTCGGCCAGAGTATGTAGCTTCTGTATATAGTATGTCTTTCGAACGTTAGCGATCATTGCTTTCTACAATTTTCCATCCAATGTCGCTCTTAATAAATTTCTGTCTTTTTGGGTTTTTTTTTTATCTCCCCTAAACCTTGTTCCGTTATTCATTTACTGAAGCTCTCTCAGTAGGCTATACGTTGTTTTCCTCTGTCCCTCTTGCCTTCAATCTGTCCTGTGAGTATCAGTATTTCCAAGCAGACTTTCCTCATTATCTACGCTAGAAATTTAAACTGTCCCTTCCTGCTGCTAAGTCTTTGTTTTTTTTTTTTTCGAATTTCTCTAAAACTCCGTCGTTCCTCTCATCTTAAATTCATGCTATTCTTATAATTTTTCTTTAGAACTACGCAAGTTAAATTCCCAGTGAATAAGAGATGAGTTATTCAAAACAGTAATGTCGAAACTATCATCTGCATGCAACTGGACAATAATCAAAAGTGGCTTCATAAAAATAAATCTTAAAGAAGGCGCCATATTATCAGACAAGCGCTACAAAATCCCAAAGAACTTAACGTAAATAACATTAAACCTGTCCATTGATCAATTCCAAAAACAGCAACAAGGAGAATGGCTACCATATACGATTTGAATAGAGTATACCGATATAATTAAGCTGTTAATTTTCTACACTATCAGAAACCAAAGAAGCTTCCATCAGTATTAGAAAGAGTTATGGCATTTAGTGGGCTTTTTCCCGAAAAAACTATTTTAAGAAAAAAGATTGTATAAATTCCAGTGTGCAAAACTGCTTGGTCAATGAATTCCCAAAGTTTCCTGCAGGGAAACGGCAAATTTCGCCATTACCATTAACAGATTTCTTTCAGGAGGCTTTCACTTATTTATTCTCCCGCCTTCATGTCTATTGTTAATAAATTGTATTGCATTTCGGTTTTCATGATTGTGTTTCCTTGTTTTTTGTTTTTTTTTTTGTAATTTCTTTTGATGATAAATTCTGAGCGAAGTTTTGATTTAAAAATGCAACGAGGAATGTCTCCAACACAGATTGAATATAACGAATAATAATGATGTTTACTGCCTTATATATATATTATATATATATATATATATATATATATATATATATATATAAGGTTGGTGCAAAAATAATGACGTAATAATGTCGTTTTTTGACGTATTTTTAACGTCAAGAACGACATATATATATATATATATATATATATATATATATATAATTCTCATTCCTTTTTTTCAAATTGTTAGGTGACAATATTTTATAACTTAAATTATATTTTTTTTTTAGTAACAAGAAAAGTACACTGCAAATAATTTCTTAAAAATAAAATGTTCTGGTGATGACCCCTTCAGAATTCAAAACTGGTTTTACATAGCCATGAGGTCCAGTTATCCATTCAAATAAACTATCGGCATTACCATTTTCGATAACGACATGATCCTCAATGTTTTCATTATTCAAATTTTCTTCCTCTGAAAGGCAAATCAAAGAGATTTAGCGTACAACAATTTCTCTTTGATTTGCCTTTCAGAGGAAGAAAAAAAAAATATATATATATATTATAATGAAGTTTTTAGCAGAGAAAGAATGTTAAAGCATCCCTCTATATAAATATGAAATCACCTGCGTTACACGTTTTGGCATGTGTAGCCCACGTTACTGAGGATGGTCCCAGGCTATACGTGTATTACAGACACTCTTCCGATAGGAAAATATAGCGATATGATTTCTATCAGGTAAGGTTTGTTTCCGAAGTAAATCACAGAGTATAAAGAGAACAGATGGCAGCGTAAACTAGGTTTCGCTGGTTAGCGGATGCCCAGCAACTCACGTGGAAATCTCTCCTTAAACTACGCTGATGTGGCATGATGATAAGATTTTTTTTTCTTCACTACCGATTTCTGCAGAACACAGCCATCTCTCTTTAATATTGCTTGTTTAATTGAGCACATAGCATCGTTCAGCCTAACTGTTGGAGCAAGAACGAAAAGAACTGAAGGGACGAGTAAAATAGTTTGAACGGCACTTGAAGCGATATTGCGTCATATATATTCGGTTTAGGCACTTCGATGTTGTGTTATGCTTAGCAAGCTTACTTTTCTAGGACAATTGCGACTGAATAGTGAGATTGATCTTTGAGATTTCTCGGATATAGAGGACGGTAAATGTTGTTAATAGTTATTGTTATAAACAGAGCATTTACTGAAATATTTGTATCTATAAGAATGTCCAAGAAATAGCAAAGAAAAAATGAGTCCCCCGACATTAATTTCATAATATATTATGTCATTTGTTTACTTTAAGATACGCTTCGAGCAGATATGAGTGTTCGAGAGAAATCATGGGAAATTTGTAGTTTAAAAACAGTAATTTAACCTTGCTAACCAGACGCTTCTTCTGTAGCTAAATGGCATATCACGTCAGGCTACATGGCTGTTCCGTGTAGGATACAAGTTCGATTCCTGTCGGAGGACACATATTTCCTTTGAGATTTCTCGGACATTCTGCCCGGTAAATGTTGTTAATAATGTTTATTATAAACAAAGCATTTACTTAAATATTTTATAAAATAAAAAGATATATATATAAATATATATATATATAAACAATATATATATATATATATATATATATATATATATATATATCCTTCTTTCATGCACATTTCATTGAATACGACAGACAATTTGAATTATTTTTTTATACAATTTTAATTTGATCTAATAATTTTTTCTTTTATTATGATAAATTATATAAAAACTGTCCGAATGTTCTTTTAATCCGAGCACTTTCGGCTATACATTTAACCCTTTTCAAGGATGAAATATTTTAACTGTTAAGTACGAAATAGTTTGTTTCGTGTATGTATCTATATAATGTTTGCATTTTTTTAAAACACGGTCAAGACATTGTGTCCATGTTCATAGTTGATATTATTGAGTGTTGTTTTTTTTTGTTTTTTTAATTATAAAACTTTCATTATTTTCTTAGCCTTTTTGCATGTAGATAATACTATTATATTTGGTGTTGAAAATAAACTATGTCACTGCATAGGGTCTGCGGTAGGTTTCCATGAGATTTAAATAAGATCTATCTGGAGCTCCAGTGATCAAAAAGATGTATGGTGTGAGTCTTCGTGTCAAATATGTGAGTAGTATAACCAAGATAATTATTTACTAATTTGATTGATCAAATACAATTTCATTTAAAATAAATATATATATATATATATATATATATATATATATATATATATATATTTTTACATATACTTATGTGTGTGTGTGTGTGTGTGTGTGTGTATATATATAAGAAGAACTATCTTTTGTAGACTGCTATAGTTATGGGATAAAAAGTACAATATGAGAGATAGAGTGCCAAATATAAATGATACATATAATATAACGACAAAAAGTTTTACATTACTGAAAAATCGAAAACCGAAAAAGAGAAAATAAAATATACAGTATAATAAATAAATAATAAAAACAAGTAAAATAAATTAATCTAAATTAATCCAAATAAATAAAAAAACTAACAAATCGATCCTGATAAATTAATCGTTGTTGAAAAACATGTAAAGATAATCAATCCAAATAAATAAAATGATTGCTAATAAAACAAATTAAAAACTGCTCTCATTAAATATATAGAATAAATTATATAATCAACCAAGATGAATTTAAGTTTAAATAAGTTTATCTTCCCATTTTAAAACAACACTATTAAATATTTAATGCAAACAAATTTTACTACGTTAATGAACCACTGATTGCTATAAATAAAATAAATATATAAGATAAGAAATAAAAATAAAATAAATAAAAACAAGCAAAAAATAATCTATCCCAAATAAGGAAATAAATAAACAAATAAACTGAGCAGCCGGCAAAATAGTTGCTAATATATGTTATCGACAAGGGGACCTTCATGTGGTGTAATGGTTAGAAAGTTTATCGACACTAGATCAATTACGACGGACTAGTGACTTGATCCTCAGCAGTTGTTTCCATACTTTCGGCTAACATTGTTCCATCTAATTTGAAAATCATTATATACTATCGACAATGCACCACTGACCCATATATTGTTTCAGTAGAAAAAAAACAGCAAAAAGTCTTTGATTATTTAAATTAGTATGAAACAGCCGTTTGCCTGAAGTGTTGACTTCCATGTTCATGTTATATATATATATATATATATATATATATATATATATATATATATATATATATTATGTTAATAACTATACTTGGTTTATAAAAAAATTGGATAACATAATTTTAAATAAAAAATATACTAAAATGAATAGGTATCTGGGGAAAAAAAACTGGTAAAAGAAAGAAAGGGCTAAAAACATCCGAAAAAATCGTCCAGTGTTGTAATTGAAACAGAAAGAAAAACAAAAAATCAATCTTTTAAATAAGAAAGTATGTAAACATTACCTTTTCCTACCTGTGATCTATGATTCGTACTTTTTTTAGAATTGTCAGACGTTTTTAGTCACATTGCAGATTTTTCAGAAGCAGAAATGAAAGTGAATGGTGTCCTCCTGTCTGTATATGTTTTTTTGTTTTGTAGATGTCATGCCCCCTCGGAGATTGCATTTCCAACTGACATTTGAGGCATTTCACTTCGCAGAGGAGATCTTTAACATCATGTAAGTACATTTGTATGTGCTTGAGTTGAAGTTCAAGGGTTAGAATTGTGAAAACTTAACAAAGAGGAATGGAGTTGCTCAACAGGTTCCGTTTTGGCAAAACTGTTTTGGCCGGAATTTGAGAAAGTGAACTTTGAATACATTTTTGTTGTGGTTCAAATAATAAACATGCAGATTTATCTTTTGAGAATCTGTTCTATCCTATTAAATTTAATCTATCTATTCATTCATCTATACCTATTTTGTGTTAAACTGTTTTTTATTTTATTTTTATCTATCTATCTATCTATTATCTATCTATCTATCTTATTGTGTTCAGGTATACCTATTTTATTGCTTGAATATTTATTATCTAGGGATCTATCAAATCTATCATATCTTATTGTGAATTTCTAGGTATACACATTTTAAAAGATCGAGGACCATTCACGTGGATGTCAAATCTATCTATCTATCTATCTATCTATCTATCATATTTCTTTTCATCTATTCATTCATCTATCTAATCAATTATATATCACATACGGGGTAAACCAGCAAAGTAAAGATCTATCTATCTATCTATCTGGAGGTTTGATGTAGGTATATATATTAGATAATGGTTGCTTTTCCATCTATCTAATCGATTTTATTGTCGAGGTTGGATATATCTATCTATCTATCTATCGAGGAATCTATCTATTCTCATCTATCTTATTCATCGGAGGAGGTCATATTGTTCTATCTGCGGAAATCGATCTCTTCGGATCTATCTATTTATTGCATCTATCTATTTATCAGTTCATATCAATCTATCTATTATCTTAATTTCTATTTATCTTTCCATATTTACTTGGGCTCGTCAGAATTTCCTTCTGTTCATTTTATTGTCATTTACGTGAATCATATGACATTTCAAAGGTTTATCTATCTTTCTATCTATCTATCTTTTGTTTTTTTGTATTTATCTGTCTGTATTCCTTCTATGTTTATAAATATTAAATTCGGATCATCTTTTATTCTTGTTTCTTTCTATCTATCTTTTTACCCATACAGGTTTACTTGCATATTTTATCCATCTATCTCATCTGATCTGTCCATTCTTTATCTATCTATCTATCTATTCTTTCTCATTTTTTGATTTCTTTCTTATATTTTAATCTATTCAATACCATTATCTTTTTTTATTCTATTCCTTCTATCTATCTAAATTATTTTCTTCTTTATTCATCTATCTATCTATCTGTTCTTTCTTTCTTTGTTCAGGTATTTACCTAACTGTCTGTCTTCTTCTGAATTTTTTTTCTTATCTATTTATCTATCTTTCTTTCCATGGATTTTTTCTCTTAATTTTTATTTGGAAACACATTGAGATTCAAACCTAGAAAAAAGTCTGTTTTGTCTTTTTTCTGTAAGAAAACGAGATAATAAAATTTCTGAATTCATTGTCTATCTTTCATCTATGCTTTCTATCTTTCTTACGTTGTTAGACATACCTATTTTCCTTGTCTTTTGATTGTCTCATCTATCTATCTATTATCTTATTGTTTCTTTATTTTATTTTTCTTTCTTTTTTTCTATCTTTCGAAAATAAGAATCTATCTATCTATCTGTAAATAAAAAGGTTTCTTTGTTTTATTTCTTCTTTCTTTCATTTTCTATCTATCTATTTTAATAAAGATTGTGTTCAGGATCTATTTTATTGTTCTTCTATATCTTCTTTCTTTTTCTTTTCTTTCTTTTCTTTCTTTCTTTTTATATTTATTTAATTGTCTGTTTCCTTCTCGTAATTTTGTCTCATCCATTCATCTTCTTTCTATCTTCATCTATCTTTCATTGTTTTATCCCATTATTGTTTTTAGAATTTTTTCTTTCTTTCATTTATTCATCTATCTATATATCTTTCTATCTATCTTTTGTTCTTATACAGTCTTTCTTATCTTTATTTCTTTCTTTCTTATTTAGACCTTCTTTTCCTTAGATGGATAGATTCATTTTGTTTCTTTTTTTCTTTCTTTCTTTTCTTCTTTTCCTTTCTTTCTTTCTTTTTTCTTTTCTTTCTTTCATATCTTATATTATATTTAACCTTCTATTTCCTTCTATATTTTTTGTCATCTTATTAATTCTTTCTTTTCTTTCTTTATCTTTCTTTCTTTCTTTATTGAACATTTAGTTATTTAATTGTTCTAATTTTATTTTTCTTTCTTTCCTTATCTTTCTTTCCTTTTCTTATCTAATTTAACCTTCTATTAATTTCCTTCTAACATTTAATTCATTCTTCTATCTTCTTTTATTCTTTTTCTTTTATTGTTCAGCTTCTTTTCTTTCTTCTTTAATTTTATTCTTTCTTTCTTTTATTTGTACATTTCTTGTATTTCTTTCTTTCTTTCTTTCTTACATATTTGTGTATTCAAGTATATTCTTTATTTTATTTTATATATATTTCTTTCTTCTTTCTTTCTTTCTTTATATCTATCTTTCTTTCAAGTTATGTGTATATATTTTCCTTGTCTTATTTTATTGGGGGAATTAGGATTCTATCATTTAGGTTTCTTTCTTTTATAAAGAACAAATCTTTAAGGGATCTATTTATCATTATCTAAATTTAGGAATTCCTCCTTGAAAAAATTGTCTTCTTTCCATTTCTTTCATCACTTTCTTTTTTGATTTCTTTCTTTTCTCATTTCTGGGGTTATTTTATCTTCTTTACCTTCTCGTATGATTTTGTCATTATAAAGATTCTTTCTTTCTTTCTTCTTCTTTCTTGCCTCCTCAGTCATCTTTCTTTTCGGTTACATCTATTTTATTCTAGAAGAGGAATGGTACATCTTTCTTGTCATTTTTCTGTCTTTCTTTTATGTGGTATTCTGCCTATTTTAATGTCTTTTCTTTTCTTTCTTGATTTCAAATTTAACCTTCTAACCCTCTTGGATTATAAATACCATGGTTCTGTAATTCTTTGTCTTCGGATCTTTCTATCTTTCTTTTTTACCTTTCTATTTCCATCTGATAGATTTTATTGAGTATAACCGTTATCTTTGTCTAATAATATCTATCTATAATTTATATTATTTATCTTAATTATTTTTCAGTTGTCCCTTATTTTATTTTCTTGTCGGAAATCATCTATCTTTCTTTCATTTCTTTCTTTCTTTTATATGTATACCTATTTTTTTGTGTAGGGAGAGATCTATCTATCTATCTATGTCTTCATTATCTATCTTTCCATCTTTCTTTCAGGTACACTATTTTATTGTCTTTCTTAGAGAATTATCTGTCATCTATCTATCTATCATTTTTCTATCTATCTATCTATCCATTGTTGTGATTAAATTATCTATATATCCTTATAATTTTTTCTTTCTTTAGAATTTATCTTTCTATTCATACATCTATTAATCTATCTATTTATTTATCCCAAACCGGATCTTTTCATATTTATCAATCTTTCTTTTCTTTATTCATTCATTATCTATCTATCTTATTTTTAGTGTATGCACTATTTAAATCTTCATCTTAGATATCTATCGATCTATTATTTATCTATTATGTATAAATATTTTAAAATGTTCTTTCTTTACATATATATATCTCAGTATTCTTTATATAAATCTTTCTTTCTCTATGTTATCTTATTTAACCTTCTATTTCCCTTTCGCATTCTGTTAAAAACATTCATTTTTCTAATCTATCTATTCATCTATCTATCTTATTGTCATTATTTATATACTTTTATTTACCACATTGAATATCTATTATCTATATATCTATCTATTATAATTCTATATATATATCTATCTATATTCTTACTTATTTTCTTATAACATATGAACCTTTTATTTTCCTTCGTTTGTTTTTTAAACAAATTAGTTGTCTTCTTGAAAAATTCTTTCATTTCTTTCTTTCTTCTATTTATCTTTTGAGTTACGTTTAGGAATTTTATTTCCTTCTCGTAATTTTATTGTCATCCTTATAATTCTTTCTTTCTTTCTTTCTTTCTTTTCTTTCTTTCTTATATTTATTTATCTGGATTTCCTTCTCGTAATTTTTTATTGTCTTCTTATAATTCTTTTCTTTCTTTCTTTCTTTCTTTCTTTCTTTCTTTTCTTTCAATACATTTATTTATTTAACCTTCAAGATTTCCTTCTCGTATTTTATTTGTCTAGAATATAATTTCATATTTCTTTCTTTCTTTCTTTCTTTCTTTCTTTCTTTCTTTCTGTCCTGTTTTATTTAACCTTCTGAATTTCCTTCTCATAATTTTATTGTCTTAAATCTGTTTATTTCTTTTCTTTCTTTAGTTTCGTTTCTTTCTTTCTTTCTTTCTTTCTTTCTTTCTATCTTATTTTATTGTAATTTTATTATTTTCCTTATAAGAAAATTTTTGTCTTCATTTCAAAAGAATAATTCTTTCTTTCTTTCTTTATTTCATTTTCTTTCTTTCGGTCTTTCTATTTTCTTTATTTTTTTCTATCTATTTTATCTAATATCTTATTTTCAATATTTCTTTTTTGTAATCTTTATTGTATTTCTTTCTTTCTTTCTTTCTTTCTATCTATCTTTGTTCTTGGATATTTAACCTTTGGTTTCTAAGAAGATCTAAAGATATCTATCTTATAATTCTTTCTTTCTATCTTTCTTTCTTTCTTTCTTTCTTTCTTTCTTTTTTTATTTAACCTTCTGAATTTTCCTTCTCGTAATTTTATTGTCATCCTTATAATTCTTTCTTTTTTCTTTCTTTTTTTTTTCGTTATTTCTTTCTTCTTTTTATTATTGTTATCGAATCTGAATTTCCTATATAATTTTATTGTCTTTTCTTATATTTCTTTCTTTCTTTCTTTCTTTCTATTTATTAACATATCACGTTATTTAATCTTCTAGTTTAAGAATTTTATTGTCTTCCTTATAATTCTTTTTTATTTCTTTCTTTCTTTCTTTTCATTATTTATTTATCTATTTGATTATCTATTTTATTGTCATCCTTATAATTCTTATTTTCTTTCTTTCTTTCTTTCTTTCTTTCTTTCTTTCTTCATTATTTATTGTTCTATTTTACCTATTTTTATTGTCTTCGGATATATAAATAATATCTATCTATCTTTTTTTTCTTTCTTCATATTTATTTAACCTATTTTGTTTCCTTCTATTTTACGGAAACTTTAACCTTTTTTGTTTCTTTCTCTATACCTATTTTATTGTCTATCAATTCTTTCTTTCTTTATATATTCATCAATCTATATATTTTATATATATATTATTTTTATTTCTTATAGTTCACACATTTTTTATTTTATTTCATCTATAATTCTTTCTTTCTTTCATTCTATCTTTATTTCTTTCTTTGTTTTCTATTTTTTGTCTTCTTATAATAATTATTTAACCTTCTATTCTTTCCTTCTATTCTATTTTATTGTCATCTAAATAATTCTTTCTTTAACCTTTTTATTTCTTTCTTTCTATTATATCTATCTATAATTGTCTCTATCTTTCTTGTTTTTTCTTTCTTTCTAATTTTATTTATCCTTCTGGATTTCCTCCTCGTTTTTATTGTTCGGATATTTTCTTTCTTTCTTTCTTTCTTTCTTTCTATCGTTATTTAACTTTCTTAAATTTCCTTCTATGTAATTTTATTGTCCTTCTCCTATTTTATTTCTTGTTTTCTTTCTTTCTATCTTTCTTTCTTTCTTTCTTTCACATGTTATTTACCTTCTTTATTTTCTACAGATTTATTGTCTATAAATATCTTTCATCTTTCTGGATTTCTTTCTTTATACGGTTATTTTATTATATTTTCCTATCTATCTATCTTCTATCCATTCTTATCTTTCTTTCTTTCTTTCTTTCTTTCTTTCTTTCTTACAACGTTATTTAATTTTCTTAATTTTATTCTATAATTTTATTGTCTTCCTTATAATTCTTTCTTTCTTTCTTTCTTTCTTTCTTAGGTTTCTTTCTATCTTACACGTTATTTAACCTTCTCAATTTCCTTCTCGTAATTTATATTGTCATATTTAATTCTTTATATTTCTTTTTTTCTTTCTTTCTTTCTTTTTTTTTTTTCTTCGGATATATAACCTTCTGGATTTCCTTCTCGTAATTTTTCTGTCTATCTTATAATTTTTCTTTCTTTCTTTCTTTCTTTCTTTCATTCTTTCTTTCTTTCTTTCTTTCTTTCTTTCTTACGTTTTTAACCTTCCATTTCCTTAATAATTTTATTGTCATCCTTATAATTCTTTGTTTTTCTTTCTTATTCTTTCTTTCTTTATTTTTCTTTGTTTCTTATACCTTTTTTCTTCGGTTTTTTCTCTTAGATTCTTTTGTCTATCTTATTTCTTTCTTTCTTTCTTTTCTTTCTTTTTAACCCTGAAATTTAACCTTCTGGATTTTTTCTATCTAAAATGTCAGATTTCTTTCTTCTTTCTTTTTCTTTTTTCTTTTTTTTTCTTTCTTTCTTCAGATGTTATTTTCCTTCTAATTTATTCTCTTCCTTAATTTTTTTGTTTCTTTCTATTCTTTCTTTCTTTTCTTTCTTTCTTTCTTTCTTTCTTTCAACACGTTATTTAACCTTCTGGAAGGAAACATTTTATTTTATTGTCTTACTTATAATTCTTTCTTTCTTTATTTCTTTCTTTTTTTTCTTTCTTGTTTCTTTCTTACGTTATTTAACCTTCTGATTTCCTTCTCGTAATTTTATTGTCATCCTTATAATTCTTTCTTTCTTTCTTTCTTTCTTTCTTTTCTTTCTTACGTTATTTAACCTTCCAGCTTTCCTTCTCGTAATTTTATTGTCATCCTTATAATTCTTTCTTTCTTTCTTTCTTTCTTTCTTTCTTTCTTTTATTTTTCTTACGTTATTTAACCTTCTGGATTTCCTTCTATAATTTTATTGTCATCAGATATATAATTCTTTCTTCTTTTTCTTTCTTTCTTTCTTTCTTTCTTTCTTTTCTTTCTTTCTTACGTTATCTTTCTATAGGTCAGTTTTTCTTATTTCTTGATGGTAATTTTCATTCTCTTATAATTTTTTCATTCTTATCTTTCTTTCTTTCTTTCTTTCTTTCTTTCTTTCTTATCACGTTATTTATACCTTCTGGATTTCCTTCTCGTATTTTATTGTCATCCTTATAATTCTTTCTTTCTTTCTTTCTATCTATTTTCTTTCTTTCTTTCTTTCTTACACGTTATTTAACCTTCTATTTCCTTATCGTAATTTATGTTTTTTCTAATTCTTAATTCTTTCTTTCTTTCTTTCTTTAATTCTTTTCTAATCTTTCTTTCTTTATTTCATTTTCCTTCTTCAATTTAAGAACTTCAAATTTCTTTCTTTATCTATTCATCCTTATATATTCTTTCTTTCTTTCTTTCTTTCTTAATTTTATTTTATTCGGTTTTCTTTCATTCTGCTTTCATTCATCTATTCTTTCTTTCTTTCTTTTTTTTGTCTTCCTTATTCATCTATTTTCTTTTCTTTCTATTTATTTATTTCATCAATTATTTCTTTTTCTTTTCTTTCTTTCTTTTTTTCTTTCTTTCTTTTTTCCTTGTTATTTAATTTTTTTCTTCTCTAATTTTTCTTTCTTCCTTTAATTCTTTCTTTCTTTCTTTCTTTCTTTCTTTCTTATTTCTTACATTATTTATCCTTCTGGATTTCCTCCTCGTAATTTTATTGTCTTCCTTATAATTCTTTCTTTTTTTCTTTCTTTCTTTTTTTTCTTTTCTTTCTTTTTCTTTTCTTTTCCTTATTTAACCTTCTGGATTTTCCTTCTCATCTTTTTATTGTCTTCTTTTCTTATTCTTTCTTTCTTTCTTTTCTTTCCTTTTTTTTCTTATTCTTTTCCTTCACTCTTTCATTATCTATCTTAATTTTTCAGGTATGTATTTATTTAATTCAGAATTTCTTTCTATCGTTATTTTCTATCTATCTTCTTTCTTCTATTCATTCTTTCTTTCTTTCTATCTTTTTTTTATTTTCTTCTTATTATTTTGTCATCTGGATCTATTCTTTAATTCATCATTCTATTCTTATAATTCTTTCTTTCTTTCTTTCTTTCTTTTTTCTTTCTATTTTATTGTTATTTAACCGGATTTTCCTTCTCGTAATTTTTATTGTCATCCTTATAATTCTTTCTTTCTTTTTCTTTCTTTTTTTCTTTCTTTCTTTTATTTCTTTTGACTTTCATGTCTTCTTCTGGATTTCCTTCTCGTAAAGATTTGTCTTAATCTTTCTTTCTTTCTTTCTTCTTTCTTTCTTTCTTTTCTTTCTTTTCTTTTTCTTTCAAATCTATTTCATTGTCTTCCTTATGGATTCTTTCTTTCTTTCTTTCTTTCTTCTTCTATTTCTTTTCTGTCTTATTTAATTTATTCTTTCCTTCTAATTCTTTCTTTCTTTCTTTCTTCTTTTTTCTTTCTTTCTTTTATAATTCTTTTTTATTTTCTTTCTTTCTTTCTTTCTTTATTTATATTTTTCTTCCTTATCTTCTCATAATTTTTTTCTTTCTTATCTTTCTTTCTTTCTTTCTTTCTTAATTGATTTTAATCTATCTTTCCTTCTAATCTTCTTATTTCCTTCTTTGCCTATTTTATTGTCTTCCTTTCTTTCTTTCTTTCTTTCTTTCTTTCTTTCTTTTCGTTATTTAACCTTTCTGGTTTCCTTCTCGTAATTTTATTGTCATCCTTATATTCTTTCTTTATTTCTTTCTTTCTTTCTTTCTTTCTTTCTTTCTTTTCTTATCTTATTTAACCTTCTGGTTTCCTTTCGTAATTTTATTGTCTTCTATAATCCTTCCTTCTTCTTTCTTTCTTTCTTTCTTTCTTTCTTTCTTTCTGTTATTTCTTTTTATTTCACTTCTCGTAACTTTTTATTTCCTTTTCTTTTTTATTTCTTTCTTTCTTTTCTTTTCTTTCTTTTCTATCTTCCTTTCTTTTTATTTCTTTCTTTAATTCTTTTCTTTTTAACCTTTCTTTCTTTTTTCTTTCTTACATGTTATTTAATTTTTATTTCCTTCTCCGTAATTTTATTGTCTTCTTTATTTTCTTTCTTTCTTTTCTTTCTTTTTTCTTTCTTTCTTTCTTACGTTATTTAACCTTCTGGATTTCCTTCTCGTAATTTTATTGTCATCCTTATTTTCTTTCTTTCTTTCTTTCTTTCTTTTTCTTTCTTTCTTTCTATCTTTCCTTCTCTATCTTATTGTGTTTAGGTATAATTCTTTTTATTGTCTTTCTTTCTTTCTTTTCTTTCTTTCTTTCTTTCTTTCTTTCTTTCTTTCTTTTCTTTCACGTTATTTACGTTTTTCTTGTCTTCGGATCTAATTTTATTTCTGTCTTATCTTTTTTTCTTTCTTTTCTTTCTTTTCTTTCATTTCTTTCTTTCTTTCTTCCGTTATTTAACCTTCTATTTTCCTTCTCGTAATTTTATTGTCTTCCTTATCTTTCTTTCTTTTTTTTTTCTTTCTTTCTTTCTTTATTTAACCTTATTTCCTTTCGTCCATTTTATTGTCATCATTTATAATTCGTAATCTTTCTTTCTTTCTTTCTTTCTTTCTTTCTTTCTTTCTTTCTTACGTTATTTAACCTTCTGGATTTATCTTCTCATTTATTTTCTATCTTCCTTTATAATTTTTATTTTCTTTCTTTCTTTCTTTCTTTCTTTCTTTCTTTCTTACGTTATTTAACCTTCTGTTTTCCTTCTCGTAATTTTATTGTCTTCGGATAATTCTTTCTTTCTTTCTTTCTTTCTTTCTTTCTTTCTTTCTTTCTTTATTGTTATTTATATTCTTCTTTTTCTTTTTAATCTTCTGGATTTCCTTCTATCTTTTATTTCTTCCTTATAATTCTTTCTTTCTTTCTTTCTTTATTTTCTTTCTTTCTTTCTTTCTTTATCTTATCTACGTTATTTTATTCTGTTTCCTTCTCGTAATTTTATTGTCTTCCTTATAATTCTTTCTTTCTTTCTTTCTTTCTTTCTTTCTTTTTCTTTCTTTCTTTCTTTCTTTCTTTCTTACACGTTATTTAACCTTCTGGATTTCCTTCTCGTAATTTTATTGTCTTCCTTATAATTCTTTCTTTCTTTCTTTCTTTCTTTCTTTCTTTCTTTCTTACACGTTATTTAACCTTCTGGATTTCCTTCT